TCTGTACTTGCTTCTTTCGTGCTATTATGCCTGAATAGTGTGAGCCTGTTTTGAGGTATAGCAGCTTTTATTGGTTTGGATTTGGAAACAAGTCTTTCAGCAACAAAAGCTTTCTACTGTTGTACATCAATTGCTTTTATCATATTTACAGTTGTTGGAACTGATGGATCAGCAATATCCCTCGACGCTAATGAGATAATATCTCCCCCTTCTTCTTCGAAGGGGTTGCCCACCTCCTGTACGACATTCATTAGGGAAGAAACATGTTTCTTGAATCGATCTTGGCTTGCTTTAGATTGATCGTGGTGTGGCAATTTCTTCTTATCATATTTGTTCCCTTCCTCAAATTCACGTACAATCCTGGAGAGTTCAGGTCCAGCCACCATCCATCTTAGCTGTGCACTTGGGTTTTCAGTAAGACCTATAGCTCCACCATCACCCTTCACCAATTCATTGTTTTGTTCATGGGCTTGATCTATAGGAATGGCTGAAAATATCAGTGTGGTCTTTTGTACTGTGAACTTGCCATTCTTAAATTTGTCATGAACAGAAGGGTGAGTTGTTGGTAGTTGAACCATATCTCTGATATGTACTGTTAGCCAGCGGGCATAATTTGTTTTGTCCAATGCGAACATCCATGGGACAAGGTTAGTAAATAATGCTATGTACAATGCAAAGTTTGATTCTCTTAGTGATCGAACAAAATCCATTATGAGAAGCTCTATTTCAAGAGTCAGGCTCCAATAGAGAAATCGTGGATTTTTTTTAAGCTCTTTCACTGCACCAGGAAGAAAAAGTTACAGCTACTTCAGTTGGATTAGACACAACATACTTCTTGTAAGCCAGGTATTGAAGTTGATAAAGACATGCAGCAGTGATCTGGTGGGCATATCTTGTACGTGTCACATGGGAAGCTTGTAAGAAAGAATCTGCTTTTCCAGGTGTGGTAACCTCTGCAAGAACCAATACATCTGTCCAACCACTTCCATCAAGCCATGTACCCAGAGCTTTTAAGGAAGCCATTTCTATATGCAGCCCACCCATCATAGCTACCAGATGGTCTTCACCTATGGTCAATGGCCAAGTCCATTGTACTCCTTTTGTCAGGGCAAATAGTGGTTGATCGCATGCAATAACAGGAATTTGTCTTGGATTGAGATGTTTCACAGCCTTTTGTATTACCCAGATTTAATGACGAATCATTGCAATTGAGTGTGCACAATCTGGAAAAAGTGGTAAGAGCACTTGTACACTTAGGCTGGATGTCATGTGTCTGATGAGCGGCATGATAGGAAGACCAAGATAATGTATGTGCATCTTCAGTCGGTTCCACATCATCCACATTTTCAGTGCCATTGTTGTCAATTTCCTCCAGATCCATAGTAGTGCAATGCTCTGTTTTGTTTTGTTTCGAACATATTCAAGCCATTTTTTTTTCCTTTATATAATTCTCTATTATAGGCTGATAATCCATCTGTGCAGTCATAGAAGGTAAACTAGGGTATGTAGATCTAGATGATACAGGAGGTACATTTGTATATGATGCAGGCAATGCACTCACACATTTTGTAGATGATGAGTGCGTTATCATCACACATTCAAGGTCATGACCTTGTCCTTTGACACTTGGATGCTGTATCAGTGAGATTCCGGTACCATGAAAGGAGCCTGTTGCAGTTATTGATATGGCATTGTGGTCAATATTATCGACAGCAGCCGTTGTAAATACACCACCACGAAGTTGAGGGGGACAAATGACTTGATGCTCTGCAAAGCGCTCACATACAGCATTGCTAGGTCAGCAGACAACCTCAAAACTCTGTCATATGACACAGAAATGCCCAATTCAGAAAGTCTGTCTATCAATCCTCGTTTTCTTGTTTTTGCATGAATCATGGTTCCTATGTACAATTGCAAAGGTGTTTCACTGCTTTTCTGATGCCTCATGGAACTTGCTCCTATGCGCATGTGCTTCACACTGTGAAACTTCATTAATTGAGCAATTTTTAGTGCTGCTTGCTTTTCTGGATTAGCTGCTTGATGTTTTATATTGGGACCCTCAAGAACCATATTTACTAGTGCCAGGAGTGATGAGGGTACTGGTTTACGTTGACAGTCTGGCTGGAATGTACCATTGAATAATACTGTTTCTGTAAATAATTCCCGGCGTACTATTTGTGCTGTTCTTGCAAGAGTCACTGCATCAGAATCATTGATTTTGTGAAATGAATCAGAGAGAACTTGACAAATATCATCATCAAATGCTAGCAACACGTCACGGCTTATAGTATGTGCAGAGAGACCTTGGATATGTGCCAACAGCTTGTCTTTCAATCTAGTTGTGTGTATTTGTTGCCTCTGTTTCACACCCAACTGCTCTAATCTAGTACAGTAGTCCTGTGTTAGGTATGTCAGTTTAAAAATTGGTGCATGGGATTCATCTGACCGCATTTCCTCCATGTAAGATATCAGCTCAGCTAAAACGATACATAGTTTCAGTGTCTGGTTTTTTTTTGACTGTCTTTTGCTCTTATCTCGTGCATGATTATATAATGATGTGAGACATTTTTTATGGTACTCGGCTTCGATGGCAATCATATCACCAGCACTAAGCTTACGGAGCAGTTTACTATCTTCTATATGGAGAGCTGCAGCACGAACATGTGAATCCAACCCAAAAGTGCATGCTTCAACTAGATCATTTGGAGAGGCCAACTCATCACAGAAAAAGCACATCAATTTACCTGGCTCCTGTCTCATAACACTGGAGGCTGAACGTGTACGTTTAATTATTTCAGATGAGTCTTGTTTTTGACCTGCTTGAAGTTTTCATTTTGATGTTCGTTCTAATTTGGTTGTATTGTATTTATTTCTGCATGATTTATGAAATTTAGCATTGTGTTTCAGCAGAGATATATCTTTCCCTGCCTTAAAAATAGACAAATTCACTGGAAGCTCACCAATCTCATCAAAACTCTGTAAATGTTTGGCTAATGTTATGTACCCAATACCTCTATCACTTTTTGTAGATGTTGCAGGACAAACATTTGGTTCTTCAGTTGCCGTTTGACAAAATATGCACAATGACCAGTTCATAGGAAGTATTGTGGAAGTATTGTGAATGGTTGGTGAATGTTATCAGTGTTGAGTTCATTCATTTTGATATAGTGGTCAATGAGAAACACAGAATATTAAAATATTTCCAATACGCTTAACTTTTTCTATGAATAAAGATTACAAGAATTAGATAGAAAAGTGAGTAAATATGCGAGTACAAGCCAACCTTGTCAAGTTTCTGCCTGGTGTACCAGCGTTTATAAACAAGCCTGTCAAATCCAATATGGCGACTTGATAATTACAATCTTCAACAATAGAGGGCGCAATTGAACCTATATACATTAGAGGGCGCTGTTCGTCTTGAGGTGAATGTGTTATAAACTACAACTTAATCTATTATAGAATTACAAACCATATTTAAATGAAATGCTTTGATACAGTGTTAATTCCCGACTTCTGTTTTATGTGCAGTAATTTAATAAATTAAATTTCATAAATATTGTTCTTATCAAAAGAATTCAAGCTTTGTTACAGTATACAAATACTTTATTGTCTGTTTAAAATGGATTATGTGATAATATGATCAAATAACAATTTTAAAATGTATGACCTCCGATGACCTTTGGTGACCTCTAGTTGACCTCTAAGCTCAAGTTCAAGGTGGTCCTACATCAAATATTAACCGCAATGATGAATTCTACACATGTGCCAAGTTTCATGCCAGTATCAAATTGTGCACATTTTTTCAGCTATGCCGCAGGACTAAGATTACATCAAGGACCTTTATTACAAAGTCCGAAAACGGGGACTATTAATTTGGGTTCGTACATTCGGACCTATATCTCGAACACCCATTGACGGATTTCATTCAAACTTCACAAGAAGACAATACATAATGTCTTACATATGCGCGTCAAGTTACTTTATGATTGGAGCAAAAATGGCCAACAGGCGGCCATTTTGGATGTAAAATTTGCTATTTCTGATACCTAAACGTATCCGAAGCAGATTCTCGGAGATGACTGGGCCGA